CATGCAGTCTGCAACCATTTTTTCATAGGATCTTTCTTTCCTATCCTTCCTACGGCAATTTATTCAGTATCAATTAGTTTGAGTTTGAAAAGCAGAAACTGAAATAGCTGAATGGTTATGAACGTTTTTTTCTTTGCAGAGGGGTTTAGTTCCACGCAGGCAGAAGCTGCAATGAAACACAGGCACAGAACAGATGTAGTTCTGTGTCCAAACACCACATACAACTTGCCCTCTTTGACAACAAAATGGCACTTTACCCTAGAAGTGAGAATAACACAAACTATGGAACCAAAACATGGGTTAAAAGCAAAAATGGTCTCATGCAACAAGCTTCAACATTACTGCCTGTGCAACCCAGGATATTGTCCCTTTTAGGAACTTGGAAGGACCATGAAAACGGCTTTTCCTTCTCTCTAGAGATGTAGATTGCCCCCTTTCCCCTCTCTTTCTTCCTGAGGTACATAAAGGGGCACTGGTCACCACTTTTCCAAAATAATAGATGGCTGGGCTGGAAAGACAGAGAAGTGGGAAAGGCTGCAGGAAGGGAAGCGACTCACAGCTGAATTGGACAAGAAGTCTGGGGACGCAAAAGGCAGGAGTTAGGTCCTTCAGGGCCACAAGGCAACAGGAAGAGGAAGGGCCCTCACGTCTGAGGCCAAGCACAGCCTTCATCCTCCTCCTTGCGGGCTGGGATGCAGAATGGTGATGGCTGGGTGAGGACTGCTGTGCTGCCATGCCCGTGTCCCCCTCTCCCTGTCGTCTTCACAGCTGTGTTCATGTGAGGGACTGCACAGCCCTGCTCTGGCCATGGGCACCAGTGAGAACACGAGGAGAGGGTGTGTACCGCATGGTTTCTGCACTCCTGCCTCAGTGGTGAAGCCGCTTGGCTGTCTCCTGTTCAAACGACAGCATTGTAAAAACTGAGTGCCAGTTGCAAAACAGAGCAACATACAGAGGAGCCTCACTCACGCACACAAGGTCCCCTGACATAGCAGGAAGAGCAACTTTCCCAGGCCCTGGATGTCTGATGTATCTGCAGAAGTCCCAGAACCAGCGAGACAATCTACACCAAAGGCACTCCAAATTGTCACAGTGCTAAGTAGCACCTTAGTTCCAACTTCACCTTATTCCAAACCCTGATACATACCTTGTCACGTACCCTAACACTTAGATGTGAGCTGTCATGGAATAGGATCAAAGAAAAAGTCAACACCCAAGAAATTCCATGCCAGATTATTTTCCTCCCGTCACTTACAGGAACATCATCTGAAGAACATTTGTTATACACAGGTGTTATGGAAACACAGCAGTTCCCATACATAGCAGAAGGATGCAGTCATGGCTTGGGCCAGCCAACCAAAGGCAGGCTGAAGTCTCCCCAGCACCGTAACAATAGCAGTAATGATGGGCCAGCATGAGTTTCTGGGACATGTTTTCAATCAAAATACACACCCGCTACCACAGGAGGCTTCCCCCTCACTTAGCACCTCCTGAACCTGTGCTGTTCTGTCTTCACTGCCATGGTTGCCAGCGCCAATTAAAGCTAGCCCTGGGTTTGCCTGGACACGCTGCAGTCATTTTACTGTGCAGGCAAGCCTTGAGGTCCAAAGCCCGTCAGAAGTCTGAATGAAGTTCTCTGTCTCAGAAGCAATCCAAAAGCTGGTGGGACCATCTCAGGGGGCATGCAGTTCATTCTCACAGAGAGGAGAACTGCCTAGTAAATGGGCCAGTGAATTCTGCACAGCTGCCGATGCTCTGCTGATCGCCAATGAAGCTCTGAGAGAAAGAAGAAAAAAAAAAATCCAAACCAACAAAAACCAAACAGAAGGACTCCCATAAATTAGGATACTGCAGTCAGTAACAGTCAGCTTGCACAGTTACAAAGGGAACTTTAAAAAATCTCCAGGCATGCAGAGCTTTGCCATCTGAGTGCACGATTTGCATGCACTTGCCACTTGTTTACATCCACTTTTATATCTTGGACCACACTATTTCACCTAGATTGTTACAGCGGAGCTCTTGAATTAAGAATTTCTCCAGGAAACCCAAGGTTTTGAAGCATCAAAGAAATATGCAGATGATGAATTTATTAAAGCTGGAAAGAATTGCCAGAAAGTATCTTTGTGCCAATGTTAGCAAATTTTTCTAAATTAATTTTGAAACAATCCATCATCCAACCTCCTCACCTTCCAATTTACAGCAGTCTTTGTAAACATTGCTAGGACAGCACAAGCAGATGGTAGAACACTTTCCTTTTAAGAAAGAAGATGGCATAACTTCATACCTCTATAAACTTCACCATATTTGGTAAAGATTTGGTAAAGGTTTGCGTTCTGTGACTGCTACAGCAACAGTGGTGGTAATTTCTGCATACCTTGAAGAGCTAAGAAAATTATCCCACCACCCAAAAACATTTACAAAGAAAGGAGCTTGCAGTAAGCTAATCTCAATTTTATTATTATTATTATTATTTTTAATATTATACTAGAGAAGCAACCGGGCAGGCTCCATCGACATTTGTAACAGTTACAATGATTTCTTCAGCATCTCGTCTCTGAATATGACCATGTTTGCTATGAAAGAATATGGCACACAAAGTACCGAAGAGATAAGAACCTTGTACCAACCTCAACTTGTCACTACTTCAGATTCGTAAAACTTATGCATGCACCATAAAGGAATGAAGAGCATTAAAAGGAACAGCTGGTGGTAGCGAGGTGGAGATTAGACTTTTTCCTCATTAAATATAAATAAGAAAAAGCACCACAGGATTACTTTAGACTAATGAAGGGTGAACTCAAACATTACCACAAAAGCAAATTCTTTTTAAAAGGGCAGGACAAATGACTTTTAGTACAAAGAAAGATGCTGGGCAAGCTCCTTTTAAAAGATGAGCTGTGCTTGTAAACACAGACAAATCTCTCAGCATATGCAGGGCAAGCCTCAAACATTTCAGCCAGTTAAACAAGACTCCCCAGCCAGAAACATTAAATCCTGAAACACAGCCATTTACAAGACACCTTTTCCAGCTGAAAAACAAGTTGTAGTACCACAAGATGTTGGCGAGGAACAAGTCACATGTCTCTACATGCAGCGTTTTAAGAATCCAATTTTCTCTGCTCTTCTGGAAACAGAAATATCACAAGCCTGTGATGGCAGAAAACTGCACAGAAAAATTTCAGAGAGTTGAGAGAACCTCATAGAGGCCAAAGAAAGTGAAGACAAATTTCAATATGTCAGTAATTCTGGAGAGTACTTTTAACATAAAAAGAATACAGAGACTAGAACTCTTAAGTGTTTTACAAAAGCTGTAGCAGCAGTGGTTGGGATTTGCTACTTGTTTTGGTAAACAGATGAGGAGATCAATACAACACATTGAATAACTGGAGCTCCAAGTACAGAGAATGTGTGCACACACATGGATTTTTTTGGGTTTTTTTGTTTTAATGCAACCAATTAAGTCGTGGCCCATCAGATACAAGCAAATTTTACATTTAAGACAGAATAAAAGGTTATGAGGAATAAAGCACATGATCAAAAGCTAACATAGCAGACTCTGGAGAAGACCATCTACCCAGGTTTTAAACATGTATTGAGCCAAGCAAATAACTTTCTCAAGCTGAAACATATTTTCAAGTGAAAGAAATTTGAAACTTTAGGGTCTGCACTGAAAAAAGAACCTGCCCAAAGCCTCTATAACTTCGACTGGGTTTTGGGTTTTTTGGGGGTTTTGGTTTTTTTTTTTTTTTTTGAGGATGAAAATTGTTTTCTGTCTCATCCCACCCTTTATTTAGAAGAACTGGGTGCAAAAAGTTATGGAACTCATTTAGCTTGAGTCAGTAGCTAAAGGCAACTCAAAATCTTCCAGAATAGGTCTTCCTCAGCAGCACTATGAACTACACACCCAGATTTGAAAAGGAGTGCAATTCATCTGAGGTTTGCAGTGGGAAAGCAATCAGCAGGCACAAGGGAAAAACCGTACGAGGTCCTGTTCACTCAAACCCTGGGGTGGAAGAGTCAAATGCACTGGAAGTGTTCAAACTATTTTCTGGTGTTTGAACAGTTTCTTAAACTTTTACAATTGCCACTGAGCACTGAGATAATTCACTGGATTCTTCAGTAATTCTAGTTGTTTCAGAGGAGGCAATTATATCAAGATCATGATTGGAAATAAACCACTGCCAGTTTCCCAACTTTTCTAACCATGATGACACACAGCTGGAGTTATTCTGAGTCTCTGGAATGAAAAGTGAGAAAAATCTAGCCTTCCCCTGGTCTTACTCCCCCCAAAAAGTATTTTTTTGCATAATAAATATTTAGATTTACAGCAGTTAGAAGCAAACTCACAGGCTAATGAATAATAATTAAAAAAATCAAGCTGGCATTTTATTACACAGAGATTTCTTATTGATTGACAGCAATCATTAACTTAAGTACAATAGGCTAGTAAAGCTGGACAGCTTGCATAGGTATTTTTAAACAAAGGAGCTGAGAAAGGTGGCATAGATAAACACAGAAATAATTGTTCACCTTACCAGTACAAAAATAATTAACACATTTACATTCGTTTATCCAAGGCCACCTCTTTATGAACAAAAGGGAGCAAAGACGGTAGTATGTAGGAATCATACAGCTTAAATTCTCTCACACCTATTCCAAACAGGAGCTAGAAAGCTTATTAGCTTCTGTTCACTTAAAAAGTTGTTCCAGCCTCAGATCAGGGAGAGGAACCAAACCCGTCAAACTTTAAGCCATCAGATCCAACACTCTACTATGCTACTATTGAAAAAACATACATATTTATAAAAATAAAGCTAACAAACTAACTGTACAGCCTGTGGTCCTGATTCTGACATGTATAACGAACAGGATGTAGATACAGTTACGGTCTATGAGGTGACTGGCCACAGGCAAGAGCTAGGCCATGTGTTCAAGTGATAAGCCTGGGATCTAAGCTTCTCTTTATAACAAGATTAGCTAGGCAAATCTGAGATAATTGGAGTTTACTATTTTTATCTGTTGCAAAGACCACATGAAAAGTAAATAAAGACAATGACATTTTGTGACAGAAAAATTAAACAAAAGAACAAATTTTTAAAAATCCAAACAACTGAAAACCCAAAATACCTAGTAAGACCAGCCTACTAATTAGGCAACAACTTATACAGCTAGACTGGAGAGACTTAGTCATCACCCATTAGAAACAGAATATGCAAAGGCTTAAAAATTTATTTTTATCATACACAATATATTGCAGCAGATATCCATAAACTCCAGCTGTTCATCAGCATGACAGAGGACATGAGATTATAAATCTAGCAATTCAAGATACAGATGTTTTTGAAGTGATATTTCTGAACCTTTGTAAATAGATGAACAAGCTTCCATTTTTGTGAGCAGCTCTGACGACATGGTGTTAGTGTACCGGAGTATCTTCATTTACATTTCCTCAAGGCTTCTCTTGATAGCCTCTTCCAATTCCACTTCTTGCTCTGTATAAATACAAAAAAAAAAGATTGTAATCTTAAAGTATGGTTGACAACTAGTCATAAACACAACTACATTATTACTACATAAAGCAACAAATTACTTCTGTTGGCAATGTCAGCAGACAGAAAAAAAAAGGTAGAAAAACAGCATCAAAGTATTTTCCCTCCTTCTGTCTTATGCTATCTTGTCAAAACTTTAAAATATTGTAACAATCTCTACAACCTTCCACTGTATTAACTAGGGGCAGCCCAATGATTAGTTTAAGAGTATAATGCAACTACATACTTACTGAGCACAACAATACCAAGATTAGAACCCATATGTATGCACCAAGAAAAAGAAATACATTAGTGGAAAACCAAACCAAAACAAAGAAACACAAAACAAGCAGAGAGGTTTCAGTATTTTCATTCCAGTTCCTTATCAATAAATATTGCTGTATCTACATTCTAACCTGGCACCACTGCTGTCACTCTTACTGAGAAGGCCAGATATAAGCAGAGAAAAAGTCATATCAACAGCAAGGATAGTCTAGATCAGGGCTGTAACACTTTTGGTGGTGGTGGGGAAGCCTGCATTGCACTCATCTGACTTAACAACCTCTCATCAACACCTTTCATAATACTCAAAATAGAAATCCTGTTTCTGCATTTAGGCTGTTATAGGCACTAATTGTTTGGTGTTAGTGAATTAAATCATAAGATAGACAGGGTTTATATGTACAGTAAATATGGATACCAATGCTATAGTTGGAAAAATTAAAGCATCTTTCAGACACGCTGACATTCTTGAATTACTCATCTTTTGCTTTAGGAGGGCACAAGCACATCCTGTAACAAAAGCTGTCTGTCCTTATGATAAAGGAAAGACAATAATTATATATATTAACATAACAGATTTTAAAACTTTAATTATTGTTGTTCTGTTTTATGCAAGGCCTAGATTTGGAGCAGAAATAACATCAATGAATACTCTCATGTCAGCAGAGCCATATTTATTCACCTGGACTTTCTTGCAACATCCGATACTACTGATGAAGAGATAAGTTAGTTTCTGAAAGGAAAACCTTACATGGTAACAGAAACAAAAAAGAAATTTTGAAATCAAAATAATGCAGAAAGTAATTTGCAGATAACTGCTTGCATTAAAATATGTTGTCAATTAGCTACTAAGCATGTGCAAGAATCAAGAATAAGGTCCAAACTGTGACTCTGTTCCTAAGGGCATGCAGTTTGCTCCCCAGTGATACCTGGATTGTCTTCTATTCCCTGGAGTTGCTCAAGCAGCTTTTTCTGCCTCCTACGCTTGCTTTTTCTCTTCTCCCAGCAGTTGCTACTGCTTTCTCCTTTTTACCCCCTTCTGGGGCTGATCTTGCCTCTTCACTCCCTTTCACCCCATGCTAGGACTGCTGTTAACCACGCAGGCAGCCAGTGTACACGGCTGAAGCCAGGCTGCTTCAGACAGTCCGATGGCTTCAGTGCTGCACCATCAGAACTGGGACCTCCTGCGTGCACCAAATGCCACTGCTGTCCCTGATGGCAATGCCCAGTGCTAGGGGGACCGGTGTGCAGAAACTTTCACTACTGTAGGTGAATATGTTGGACATTTAGTAACAATATGTAGTAACAGATGGTAAATTTATAACTGAATAAATTCTGGGAATATGAGATTCAGTTATCAGTTTTATCATTGACCTTGTACAAATCATTTATTGATTTTTTCTTTTTAGTTCATTTTATTTCCATCAAGCAAAAGGACAGAGACAAGCCTTTAAACAATACATAATTTTCAAAGAGCACAGTAGCCCATCACCAAAAATTAATAACTACATTGTCTGAACACCACCACTAAGCACAACAGCAAAAGGATGAAAACAATTTCAAATAAGATATGATGTAAGCAGACAGCTGTACTGCTGATTCAAACTTGTGCATACATATACACCTCTTTTAGGAGACCAGAGTGCTTTGCTGAAATATAATACCTACTGTTGAAGTACTTATTCAGAAGCTCAACTATTTAGTCAGTAGTTCTACTCTGCGTCAAAACGGTCATATTGAACTGGTACAAAGTGACCTCAGTCAAGTCTTTAATTGCACAATACCCTGTGGTGCACCAATAACATAGACTTTGAGTCTGCTGGCATACCTTTCAGGTTAGGAAGTTATTTTTTCTTTATAACTCATCACAGGGTTCTTAACTACTCAAGATTACCCAGCATATTTTAGAGAGTATTCCTGAGAGGTCACTTGCCATAAAACTCATCGGAAGTTCAGTTTCTGTATCTTGCATAATTGATAGCACTCCTGAACACAGAAAAGTAAAAATGAACAGACCTTCCTGTTTCTTTGTTTCTTCTAAGCTCCTCTTCATTGTTAGTTTGATATCTTCATCCTCTTCGCTATCTGAACCTTAAATGTACAAATTAAACATAAATTACACATTGCTTCCAATAAAAAAGTTAACAGTCCCCTCTTGCATTCTCTTACTGTGACAACATTATAGGTTGGATTTGAAGAAATACACCTGTTATGATCTGAAAATCAAGATACAAATATATTATAAAGGTAGTTTAAGACAGTAACTCAAGAGACAGAGCTATTTTTCAGCTACCTTTCTTCCTTTCTCCCCAAAATCTGGAGGCAGAGTTCTTCAATTTTATATTATTTCAAACCAGTAAGAAGAAGTAATAGGTGCAAAAGCTACTCCTAGTGTAGACTGCATTTGCTTTTTTGTAATACTCAGTTATTAAAAAAAAATACATTACTTTCTACAAAATGTATCAAGGATTTAATCATGGGAAGAAGTACTATAGCATGTCTCTGCCTACACATGATCTTAGCTGTATTTTGTTGCCTAAATACTCTATTTGAACAACAGAGTGCTATAACTCAACTGAAAAGTGCAATTCAGGAGATGTTGTTCAAGTCTCGCAGAAGAAAAAAGGTCGATATGTTTAGTTTAACCTGCTAACTCATCATAGCCAAGCCCAGCCAAAACTCCATGACCTTTTCCCTTCTAAATAACACTCCTCATGAGGCTGGTTTTCAGCTCCAGAATGACAGCTCTATTTTGAAGTGTCTAGTAGGGATTGGTGTACCTAAGGTGGTTTTTTTAAAATCTGTTTTAAACAGTCTCAGGAAACTACAGGTTAAAAAACAAACAAGTCGATGAGTCACATTATGCATTCATTCTCCTGCTACAGGCTATTGCTATTTTGAGAGATGGTCTCTGTAATGAGGTCTCGCAGCACTCGCAATCGACTAGATCTCCTATGGTCGTATCAACAGAAGCGCTTCCCTTAAAGTCATCACATTTATTAGTACATCAGTGTACTTATTACATCTACCAGTAAAGAACGTTCTGATATGGACATCAAATTTACTGACTGTGTGACTTCTGGCATTTTAAATGACCCACGTTAGGTGTTCAAAGAGACAGGTACACTTTCTAAAATTTGTTCTCAAACCTCTGACACATACACCTTGCTTGAACAGCAATGTTGCTGATTTTCCCAATTCCAGTAATACAGACTCCAACAGCTGGAATCAAACAGAGCTCAGGAGCCCAGAAAGATTCTAGAAACAGCTGGATATACACTGCAGTTAAAATGGTTTTTCTCCAGTCACTTGGCAGACTCACTGTGATTCTTTCTGGAGCTGCCTGCTATCTCTGGGAAGAAGAGATGCTATTTTTTACATCATCTTCCAAAGAAAACAAAACAAAAGAAAAATCCACACAACCCAAACACATGTCATTACAATCACTTATGAAAGTGAGGAAAGTGGCTTCTCCCTTATTATCCTTTTAATCTTCCAGCCTGGAAGACATCTCAGACTTCTCTAAAAAGTCTTGTACCTGTTCAGAGGTGTAACAGTTGAAGCAATCACTCCCTGACTCATTTATTGGCATAAGTAGAAGGGAAGAATTGAGATCTTGAGAGCAATACGTAATAAGGCATAGTCCAAGAGAGTCTCTGGTTTGGTTCCATTTCAAAGAAAAATGCATTAAGAGCACTTTCCTGAAAGTTTGTCGGGTTTTTTTTTAGGACCCTTGACAGAAGATGCTGGCAAATGGGAAAGGCAATATTCTTCTGATTGGCGTCCTGCCTAGGTGGTTAAACAGCAGAGGATCAGAGTACTCAGAAATTGAGCAGTTTCTTTCAGATATTTGCAGACAGAATTATTACTTCAGTTCATTAAGAAAAAGTGTAGGATTCATCTTATGTATTAATGTAAGCCTCATCTTGCCAACATGTTTTGCTAGTCACACCACCTTAATTACACCACTGTAATAACATGGGGTACACATTCATATTGGAACAGAGGTATATGCAAACTGGCATGCAAAACGTTTAAACATTTTCAAACAAGCTGCCTGCCCCATGATTTATCACTGCACCTGATATGCAGTAACTACATACTACTTGATAGCTATCACATCACAGAGAAAAGGTTTGCTTAAAGCATAGTTGAAGAAACACTATTCCACTGCCAGAAACTATGAAATTTGAAAACAATTAGTACTGATAATCTGCTCTTAGTTTGAAGGGGGCTGGGGAAATCAGCTCAGAGTCAAATGTGGTTATGAAGCATGTTAAAAGTCTTATGAGCTACGGTCTGCCTTCCCTGGTCATTATCTGCAAGACTTCTCTTCCCTCTGTCTAACTTTACTGATGCACATTCAACTTCCCATGAAGGCAGTTGCTAGATTCTCTGAAATCTTTGAGTTGGTGCAAGTAAACATATTAAGAGGCTAACAAAGTGCCAAATCTTATTTAGGAACTTCTCACACAAAGGCTTGTCAGTATTTCCAGTTATACTGAGATTTTCATTATCCAAAACCAAAAACATTATCATGTTTGTCCTTGGTGTTCTCCCCTCCTCCTACTCTCCCCAAACCTACACAGAGCAAAGACTAAAGGCACAAAAGCAGTAAAGATGAGAACTTTAAGATGTTCTGGCTCTATGGGAATCAGGAGTAAGACTGCAACACTCAGAAGAAAAGCTGTCTGCAGGCAAAAATCCTGCAAATAAGCATGTGAGGGGCAGGAATTCAGCTTCCTTTAGGGGCTAGACAGCAAGAACTATTAGTATGGAACTCATCACTTGTCAACTAAAGAGAAGGAAAGGACAACTGATTGAACAGATGCATTTTTCAAGTCAGAAGAGACCAGGCCCCTTTTCCACACGGGACAGGTCATTGTGCTTGATATCATGTTGCTCGTAGCATGTCTGCACCCTGGGACTGAACACTGCTCTCAGGAAGATCTTAGGTTTCAGTTAAGAATATACTCCATGCAAACTCCACAGAATGGCTGAGGGTGGAAGGGACCTCTGGAGGTCATCTTGTCCAGCCCCCCTGGCTCAAGCAGAATCACCTAGAGCTGGCTGCCCAGGACTATGTCCAGATAGCTTTTGAATATTACCAAAAAGATACTGTACTGGGAAGCTCAGAACCTGACAGCTGTGGCCTTACCAGTGCTGAGTAGAAGGAAAGGACCACCTCCCTGAACCTGCTGTCAACAGTCCTCCTCATGCAGCCCAGGGTACCGTTGGCTTTCTTAGCCATAAGAACATGTTGCTGGCTTGTCGTCAACTTGATGTCCACCAGGATCGTCAGGTCCTTTTCTGAATAACTGTCTTCCAGCTAGTTGACCCCCTGGTCTGTACATACTGGCGCTGGGGGTTGTTCCTCCCCAGGTGCAGGACTTTGCACTTCTTGTTAAACTTCATGAGGCTCCTGTCAGCCCATTTATTCCCTGTTGTCAAGGTTCCTCTGGATGGCAGCACAACCTTCTGGTCTATCAGCTGCCACTCCTGGTTTTGTGCCATCGGCAAACCTGCTAAGGGTACACTCTGCCCCACCATCTAGGTCATTAATGAAGATGATAAACAGGACTGGACCCAGTACTGACCCCTGGGGTACACCGCTGGTTACTGGCCTCCAACTGGACTTCATGCCACTGATCACCATGTTCTGGGTCTGGCCATTCAGACAGTTTTCAAGCCACCTCACAGTTTGTTCATCCAGCCCTCACTTCATCAGCATATACTCGTGGTAGTGCTGGCATCTTCTGATGATTGAGAGTAAAGAGAATGTTTAATTTGGAGAAATGAGGCATGTCCTGTCTCTCTTATTAAAAATGTTTACCACGTCCTGTAGTTCCCAACACCTCTGGAATCAGAGGAAAAACAATTGCTCAGTTTCTCAGCCAAGAGATCCTAAGATACGGCCTCTTCTCTACTACATTTTGTTAAATAAACAACAGTTTATTTAGGACAGTTTGACTGTACCCATCCCCTCAAAGAAATCTTACTGCTCACTATTGTCCTCACATATTGCCAAATGCCTGCTGGAATAACAAAAAAAACAGGAAAGCAAATTCTGGATTAATATAGTGCTCAAGAGATCAGAAAGATTAACCCTAAAGATAAGAGCAAATATAGTGACTTTTTTGACATTTCATGAATCTCTCACAGAAACCTATCCTTGGAACAGACTGGCATACTCTCCCAGAATACAAGCGCCACCTGCTGTCCCGACATCCAAGTGTCACAGCTTCAATTTGAATCGGTCACCCACAAGGCTCAGCATAATTCCACCCCACCTCTTCTCTTGCAAACTCCCCCCTCATCCCCTTAATAATTTCCATCACGTTTACTGGTTTTTCTGTCTCACCAGAAATTCAGTTTCCCTTCCCCAGCATTAAGTCCTCCTCCCTTGCTGCACAACTTAACACACCTCCTGACTACTCCACAAATTGTGCAGTCTCACACCTTACCTCCACTTCTCTCTCCTACAATGCTCCTTCTCTTAGTCTTTTCAGTAACTCCCAGTCTCATCTGCCTCTCTCCCATCCCAGTGTATGGTGACATGAATATCACACTTAACTCACTGTTTCCCCAACCACTGACCCTTTTCCTTTTACAGCTGATGTCTGAAGTTTTAGTGCTACCTTACATTAAGGATACCATTCAAGTTACCTCACTCAGGATCCTAGTAACTACTTAGGTAGAAAGCTGAGATCAGTACCCCATCCTTTGTTAGCAATCACGTTCCATATGCGTGATCACGCAGTCTTTAAAATACTGTTCCTTGGCTTCAAGATTCCTTTCCTTTATTCCTTCTTCAATATGTCCCCAGAGGATCCTCCCCACGTACTCCTCCCCAATACTTACTGCTCTAATCTGTTTCTTCATTCAGGTAACATCATCTGTAAATGCAAGTACAGCTGCTTCTGGCTGAGGGTTCACAAATACGCAAGACCTCTCTTCTTCTACACAAACTAAAGCTTCACTCTATGTAGCTCTCCCTACAGATGCTCATTCATCTGTTCATTCAAGTGTAGCATGACTAAAAATAAAGCTCTCAATCCCCCACCCTCCTCCAATTGCATTTTTTTGAAACTGTGCCCAGTACCATGACGGTCACTCAGATTTTCATTTAACCTTCATCTTACACATCTCTCTAACATTCAAAACCAGAGTAAACTAAACTTCGAGGATTTTTTGGTAGGATCTGAGTGGTGAGATCTTCCCAGTTCATCCAGTTGCCTACAATTCTTGTTGAGACTCATTATCTTAGGTCTCAATACATTGCTGTCTGCCTAGGGCACATACGTATATTCAAAGATGCAGACAAGAGATGCCATTGACATACCAAAGCCAATAATAACTACCTGTTGTAGCTAAACACAAGGTTACAACTCAAGGGTGACTTTCTTATCACTCCCTACTGCAATGGGCTGTGGCCACTTTAAACAGTGTAAATAAAGGAACAGATGCTTACTAGAGTAACCATCATTCATTCACGGTGCATTACACTGCAGATGCTCACGTCCTTCACATTCAGTCCGAACGGTGGGGGCTGGAGGCTGTGACCTATCTTAAGTCATTTGCAGTCTGTGTTAACTGAAGGTTTGGAAAAAGCAGAGGCTGGGGTCAGATGTGGTATTCATATTGGACCTCAACACTCAGACTTGACTACTGAGAAGCCAAGCAATCTATTCTCAGTGTCTTCTGTTAATTACTTCTTAACTCCTCTTAAATTCTTTTGTTGTCTGTACGTAAACCAAAAGATTTTTGGAATAGTGGAAGCTAGGAAGCTTAATAGCACTCATCAAAATGAACCAAAATCCTGTTCTTCCAAATATAAACTCTGATAGAAGCCACATTCAGTAGTATTTAAACACTTCAGGCAATAATAGCAGATTGAAGACGCAGGCTGACAACTCTGCTTCAGCACAGTGGAAACGTATAAGCTGTAGCAGTTCTGTCGTTACCGGATATCAAGTGTTGAGATGTGGACAAGGGAATAATGGTGTTTTTCTGAATGCTACAAACATGTCTTTGCAAAGGAATTATAAAGAGAGGCATTGAAAACTTCTACCCTTCTCAAACCACTCGATTAACATGTATGAATCTCCCCTCGTGTGTTGTGCTTTCAGCATAAAAACCCCAAATCTTCCGTATTTATGAACTCAGGTTTAGCAGCAGAAGAGAGCAAATAAGAATAACTGTCTTGCCTACTTATCTCAAAAGGAATTTCATGCAATCAATACAGCCTATGGTCTCCTAAGGTAACATATAGTTGATACCCTATTGCAACATATGAGAAGATTTTTATTTATTTATTTTAAAATGAATGCACATACCACAGTTCCCACAGCAGTTCTGCTGACAAGGTAAAATGTTTCACAAGGTGCAACTGTCAGAGACTGCCACAATGCAAACACAATCCAGCTGCTCACAGGCTAATGATAGCTCTGTGAAGGTGATTCAGGGAAATAGGTTTTTCATTTTAAAGTTCATCCAATGCCAACAACTGTCTTATATTTTTCAACACAATTCTCTGTAGCAACTTTGTGTCTCTTATTTCTCCCTCCAGAATAAGAGCCATAGGCTGGAGAAAGTCAAAGCAAGCAGTTCTTGTTTATGTTTCCTTATATTCAGCTGCATTTCTGTAACAGGACAACAGGTTATACCAGCCTATGAAGCACTGCATGATTTTCCATCTCAGCCCTCCAATACTGGTCTTGCCACACTAAGACTTGCAAATGCTTGCTGATGCTGCTGAGCCACAATGAAGTATGTATTATGCAGCGGCCTTTTTTTTTAAAAAAAAAAAAACCAAAACAACACTTAACAGACTCTTGGTAATTTCATCATCCAACTACGCACTGAACATACGCCTATTATCAAAACTGAATTTTCTAAAGTCTGGTTTTAATACAGGAATAGGTAGCTCTCACTATCCAGGTCCATCCCTGCTGACACTGACTGGAGAAAGGGACCAAGGGTGGCTCAAAACAATTCTGTTCCTTACACGTTTGCCAGTGAAGGCGGACAGCCAAAGGACTCATGCATGTTTCCATCATTTTCCGGCTCAAAGCTGGTGTTTTGTTTTGGTTTTGCTGTTTTTTGTTATTGTTGTTTTTTTTATAACAACCACATGCATAACTTAAGTGGGATGAACAACAGACAGCCAGCAAGTTAAGGCTTGGGGCTTCTCCATAGTGCCCATCACTGTAACAGTAAATTAAATATTAACGTAGTAAAGGACATTGAAAGACGGGTTAGATACGGGAACTTCCGAAAGCAATACTAATACATAGAAAAATACTGAAAATGGTTAGATCAAAATCATTGCCTCTGAGCCAGTATACTCCAGTGAACAAAGCTTTACTAGCAAAACTACCCCGGCAGGAAGCTAGAGCACCCTTATGTAGCAAAATAGTCATTCTCCTCTCCTCACCATCTCAGATCAGTAAGTTGCACAACAAACGGTACAAGAAAGGAAGCCCCTACAGCTAAATTGACCCAAATTGACTGCTTGGAAGTTACAGCTCTCTCCCAACTCTTCCTCGCAAAAATATGCAAAGCTCCCAAAGAAAAACCAGCCTCCCACATTAATATACAGTTATAGCTATAATTAAAGAGCTCTATCAATCTAGGAATTTCAATATGCTCTAAAAAGAAAACATTCATAGTGGGAATGTAATGATTCAATGCGTAGCTTTATGGATTAACTGTGAAGAAAAGTCATCCTCCCCCTTGAGCAAAATGAACTGTGCTAGTGAAAGTGACAGTTCTGTAACTAACTATGCCAATAAATTTGACTGGTATGGCTGCTTCTGGCTGGGAATCACATCTCCATGATGCCTCTGAAAAATCCAGACCAGCAAATGCCTGGGGTGGCCAGAAAACTCTATAAGCACCTTTTTGGTATCAGAAGCACATAAATCAGTTCCAGCTCACCACAGATCATTTCTTCAGGAAGCCATTTAATTATCCTATCTTTATTTTTCCATTTTAGCAATCGATGCAATTCCCCTTTTTTATCTCTAAACAGCTTCTCCTTAACTGGAAGGGAGTTTTCAGACCAAAATAATAGTTTGTCCCCTGCTATCATAAGGAATATAGGAAGGACAGAATTTGTTATGTTGAATAAAAATACCTAATTAAGTCTGTTTTCAAACCTTGCTCCAGGCAAATTGATTTTCTGCTCCATATTTCATTGAAATACCAGTACAGTACAAAAAGCATCAAGTAACAGCTTGTATTACCAGCACAAACGTTCAACTCTTTCATTGGAAAGAACTTCTGGTTGATTGGAAAGATTGTATTTAATGTTTACTTTCTACCTTTTGTGGTATCTGAAATGCTGTTTAGCAAGGCACACATCATGTCTCCTTCAATGTGGTGTGGATTTAGGATGCGAGCTGACCGCTGGGTCATCTTAAATTGACTTTCCAGTTCCAGGAAGCTTTTGTCTCCAGAAAGTACAGTGAAAGGAATTTGCTTGGGCAGGCGTGCATCCAGACGACCAGCCTGTACAGAAACAAGTGTCAAGTGTTGAACTGAGATAATATTTTTTATCTTGTGAGGTTTGGCTAGCATTTTGTAAGACAGGTCTTCATAGGCAAACTTTCTACAGCAACCCACCTCTGCTTTTATGGTCCAATGCACGTTATACCACTGTGAAAGGTGTATTTCAACAATTTGACACTGCATTTATTCTACACATGTGACAACAGATAAGAGGAAATGTCTATCAGAACAGTACAGATGGAGTGTGGAACAAATTCCTAAAAAGCAGCATTTCAGAACTATCTCCACATCAAACAGATGACGTACAGAGCATTATTTAAGAATCATAAAAAAAAGTGTAGTGTAACATACAAACACTGTTGCAAAACACATTTATATTGTACAATTAGATTCTCAAGCAGTTTTATCTAACGGATAAAGCATTATATTAAGAACATTAGTCCCCATGGCATCCCAGACTCCTGTCCTTCACCTGCACCTCTCCCAAGCCAAAGTCCTGGGTCTACTGAATAGAAACACTGCTTTTTGTCATCTCGGCAGGGCCTCTGAAACTGGCACTCATCCAACTCCATCTTAAAGATGGCTCTAGATTGGAGCTATTTCAAAGGACATGCAGGAGTTACATTTCTCTCTGAGACAGAAACTATAAGAATTGTGAGTTTTTATTCTTCATTCTGTAACCAGACCCTTCCCCTCCACAACAGAATGATGTCTTGTTTGGGCTAACTTTTTTATTCCTACAGAAAGAAAAATGAAATTTAAATCACTTCTCAACAGGCTGTCTGCACTCAGTTCAGTGACAGGCTTATATTTCTTTTTAGTGGATAGAGAAGCCACATAAAGAGAATCTAATAATCTCATCTGTACTTAGTACTTAACATCAATAGCAGCTATCATCTGCCACTCTTCTCTTGGTACAGAAACAGAACAATAAAGAAAGCGCACAGTAACTTACATGAACACAGAGAGCAAAGTCTGCTGCTTCTCTTCTGGTACCGCAACGTGGATGAAGAAAGAAACATCCAATCCTCTTAAGATAATTGTAAATTTTGCACTGCACTGGAGGTTTCCAGTTGCTGTATCCTCCTAAACAGCGAAGAAAAAAAAAAGAAAACAAAACCAATGAAAACAAACCAGAAATGCCACCATGAATTAAGAATGCAAGAAGGCAAAAGCAAAGATAGATCTGGCTTTAAAGACAGAACTTATTTTGACCAAAGTGAAAGCTAAAATAATGTGTAACCAAAATCCCAAAAGAACTCTTATTCTTTGGTTAGAAAGCAAAAAAGGAAAAAGTAGGTAGCCTGATCCTACACAAAGCCTCTCATTCAATTTTGTATTAATTTTTCTCCTAATCCTGAAAAACTTATCTTCTAGAAATCATGTGCGTTTAGACACAAGGATGTACTTTTTTCCAGTTTTAAGCACAGTTATGGTTAATGTGCAGAAGCAGAGGAGCTCTGGGAACACAGTACTAACAGAAATGCTTCTCTTAGGGAATCCTGTACTAATGTAATGCCCAAGTTTATTTCCAACACACTCCATAACTACCTGACGCACCACATGTCAGATCCAAGAGCTGGAACCACAGCTGAAACAAATGCTAGAATCCTGAAAAACACTTGGATGCAGTCAAGGATAAGCAAAATGAAGCTACAACTGGGGAAAAAAATTAGTGCAGGAATTTTCTCAAGTGTCCTAAAACATGTAGTTACTGGCTGAGAAAATAGCTGGATAGATGAGCTGAGTAACAGGCCTGCTAGAGATAAAAAGAATACCAGGCTGAAACAGGTTGCAAAGGAAAGGAAAGGAGCAGCAAATCTCTCAAGAAGAGAGGGGAAAAACAGGAGCTTGCAGTTACTATGACAACATAAAAAGAAAAACAAATGGAAGGACAATTTGAAAGGAGTGAATAAGAATTTAATGACATTCCCAACTGCTAAGAAATAATGGGACTGCAATGGGGAAGAAAATGTGTTGCTTTATCTGCCAGATGATAGAGAGGTTGGATCTAAGAAAGGATTTTGAATGGAAAGTGAAAGCAGCCATTGATGGCACTTCATATGAGGACATGTGAAACTAAGGCTGAAGTAAAAGGCTACGGAGGATGGTGTATTCTAACCTGCCCACCCCCAGTCTGACAAAGTAGAAGCAGTCTTTAGTAGATTTCTCCTGAGGTTTTTTGGGTTTTATTGTTTTGTTTTGGTTTTTTTCCCTTTCAGCCTAATGGCTACAAGAAGGTATCAAAAATGATCTCAAAGATTTAGTTAACAGACTACACATAACTAGTTTAGGGGTATTTGTCCATGAGAAAAATGTTATTTGCAAGTCATTCTCATCTGCTGCAACAGCCTTGGTCACTGCCAGTTGGGAAAGACTTGTAATCACTCACCCTGGCTTTTGGCTGTATAAATGCACAACACAAACATTTGACCGGGACAGCTGAAGGCAATGACAGAACTGTATTTACTCTGGTGGAGCTAGACCACAAATGGGTGAAGGACAACTAAATATCTGAAAATACAAACAATGCAGATCCTGGGCAACACAATGTAGGAACTCAAAGCAAAGCTAAGGCTGTATTAGCAATAGGAATAACAGAAATAATGCAGAAGTATCATAAAAATAGTAAAAAGAAAATCATAAATGTTGTTTGGGAAATGTAGAAAAAGAATCAGAAGACACAGGGATGTCACTGTATTTTTACAGACTAAACAAACAAGAATAGCATGCATCAAATAATGAGAGGGCACCTACAACACCAAATCCAGATGTGCCCGGGAACCTCAGTGTTCCCAGGCTCTGTAACAATATAGTTGTCACTAATAAACGGCTCAAGCGTTTTCTGATATGAATATGGCCCATTTTAATCACCACTAACTCTTCAGCATGGATTTTCCAGTTCAAGTGCCCCAGAGGCCATTCCCACAAGGCAGCCTGCATGCAGCAACCCACATGGGAAGCAAGAAATGGAGTGGCACTGCCGTGGACCGGGCTGTGCCAGCAGGCTGTGTCTGGAACATCCCTGGGCACAGCATCTTAACTAACACAGAGGTACCTTTGGGTAAGATTATTCTGTTAACAGATGCTCCTAACAATAGATTAGTCACATTAAGACTGTTGCTTCTCTTTCTTTAGACAGGTCAGAGAAGAGACATTTCTGACAAACACTTCTGGGTTCAACCAATTTTTTCTTACTGAATCAAGAGAGAGCATTTTAACCTTGGAAAACAGTAACAGCACAGAAGACCCTGTCATAACAAAAAAGCTTGGGTCAACTAATGACAAAACAGTTTTGATTAAATTAAATAGAGTCACAAAGTATGACTGAAAGCAAGCATCTGAATTCAAGTGGGAACAGTTTGACATAACGGAATAATTATTCTTTGCTAAAGTATTTTTTATAAAACCCAGACAGAGTAGCTTTGGACTTTAGATGCCAAACAGCCCTGACATTTCTTCAAGTCAGAATCCTAACAGTTTCTTACTTTTACCTGTAGGAAAAAAAAAAAAATGTTTTTCCAAGGCCAAGTGGATTGAATAACTACAGAAACAAACTACAAACCTTCAGCAATTAAAAACCACAACCAACCCCAAATCACAATAGCCTTAGAAGTCAGGGAGCACAGAGGTGTAGTGAAATTTGACCAGAAGTCAAGCAGGGCAAAGCCTCACAAGAGATAATAAGAACAAACAACAGGTTGTTCAGCCATATAGAAAAGAGAATAAAAACAAATGGAGCAGCCAGGAAGCAAGGATGAAATATAAATCCAGGACAATGAGGTATAATTTAAATTCTCAAAAATCAGTATTTTCTGGAGCTTCGTGTGCATGTGCAAGAATACCGTTACTGTACAGAGAGGCCAAAGGCTAGGCAATGACAATACAGGTAATGACATAGAAGCAATGCCTGAGCAGAACACAAAACTCAGGAGCATAACCTGCTTTAACAACGACCACCAGAGGATCCGTCCCTAGAGCTCCTTACAACCAGACATTTGACTACAGGTCCAGGAGCACAGCTGACTGAAGAACTTAGACTTTACACTAACAGACTTGCTCTGCCTTCATCAGCTAACTGGATTACCTGTTTCTAAGAAGAAACAAACAAGTGATTCAGGCAGCAAGAGGCCTTTCTGTCCAACCTCAGCAGGATGAAAACTCTCAGCTTTCAGGATGTTCTTGATTATCTTGCAAAGGAAGGGATAATCAAGAACATTAAATAAAGTGCAGTGCAGTGGTGTTTACTAATTGTAAAATATGCCTGACAATTCCTACAAGTCTGTTAAGACGATGCCTATGTTTCAGGCAATAAATATTTTGAAACTGTCTCTTATCTAGACTTTACTGAAGTAGTCAATGTACCACAGGCAAAATAATTATAAAGGCAGATACAGAGAAAACCAGTAGAAAAAGCATGAGGTAGACAAGAAGTTGGTTCAAGAATAGTCAGGTAAGGAAAATATCAAGTTAAAGGGATGCTATTGGTAGACTTCGCAAAAAGTTTTCTTACAAACCCATAACAATATCAATTCCATCAATCACCTTGTACCACTACTGGCATCCTCCAGATGTGAGATACACCTATGGATGCACAGGATGACCAGGGACATCCTTACAGAGCAAGCCAGAGACAGAACAAAATTCAAGAATAAGAATGTAAAATCCTGCCTTTTGGAACTAAAAAGAAAAAGAACATTATGACAAGAACTTGGGAGTTAAAAAGAAAATCATCTCTGAGTATAATGGCTGTCCTGATAATTACAAAAACCTAGTATGATAAAGCCTAAGTAAGTTCAGGAGGGAAGCCAGAAAGACCACTAAACTGTTTAGCAACTCTGGAACAATATTCTACAAGGAATATATTCCAAGAACAGAGGAGGTTAAGACGGCATTAGAAAAGTTCAAGAACATTTCTATTGCATGGTGCTTGTGACACTGTGACTTAAGAAGCCCTGGTAGCTGCTTATTCCTGTGCTTCATTCTCTCAGATTCAAAGAATCTCTGCTCAAGTATTTGTGTAGACTTATTAAGCTTATCTTCCTATTTCCTTCCATCACTTTTTACCTTGAAAGCCCCAGATAAATGTCCCTTGGTTCAGGTTAGCTGGCAGCTGCGTGAATAAGCTTCCCCAGTTGTCCAGATCCACCAACACAATGTGAGTCATGGTACTCAGGTAGTCAAGATCAGGAAGTTCACCATCTTCAATGGGATAAAAAGGACACATTTAAAGTTCACCTACTTTCTGGTCAACCAACATACATCAGCTTAGATATGCTCTTGAAAATTCATGTATTCGACTTTTCTATAAGCAAAAAGTTACAAAACATTATCCTGTTTGGTGACTGCATTGTTTTTAAATCAACTGAAGCAGCATTTAGTAACACACAAATCAGGCAGAAGAAAGTAGAATCTATCAATATGATGGTGTAGAGCTGGACAGTTTTGTAGTAGACACAGAAAGCTGCTGTCCTGCATTGACATTTTAATAGTCTATTTAATATTGAACTGCACACCCTCTACTATGGCAAGCCTGTGACATTTAACTGCTTACATGCATAAAAGCACATCAAATGTTTAGAGGCACACTTTTTGCTGTATAACTAAAATAAATGCCAATCTTTTAATCAAACACATTATGACACCAAAAACACTTCCAGTTTTTGAACACAACATGCACCTTCAGCATTCTTGATGTCATTTTTAGAAATGAAATTAACTTCAAAAAAAAATATTTACATGCCCAAGGCAAAAAACCTGAATATATAGTAAGAATATAAATTCTTAGCTGAAACTATTTTTTGGCAAGCTAAAGGAAACTGAGAAGATGGTGTTATAATAGAACTGCCCACACAGAAAGCACTACCAGGCTTATAAATATTTATACATAAAAAGAAGGCAAGTTTCTCTTGAATGTGTGTGTATTATAGACCACTTCTACATTTCTGGGAATTAGATCTCTGTTTGGGGTCCTTGATCGTCCTCTTCATTTTAACACCAAATTATGCTCCTAACTAATTTGAAAATGAAATGTTTCAGTCCCAGGGTTCTTGCACCTGCCTACTTTTTGTTTTATAAAGACTTCATGCATACAGCATACAGCAATAAATTGTTGAGTCCATGTTCTGGAAATGCAAATACTAAGATTCAAAATGCAGCTTTGAGAAGTAAGAAATATACAATTCAGAGCTGATTTATACACTGGATGTAGGCAAACGGTATGCTATGTACTTGTACTGACACTGAAATGGAATGTGTCAAAGACCGTATTTTTCTAACATTAAAAAAATATATATATGTATCTACAAACCTTCACCAGGTTCTCCAGAATGGGCCGAGTTTTCTTCTTCTTCCTTCTTTCCCTGTACTGGTCCTTGCAGAGATGACTGTGGTCTTTCCCGAGTCTTGGATGGAGACACCTGAAATTCTAGCTTCTGAGGTTTTCTGTCCACACAAGCCCCACTTGCTGTGAACTTGAATACTGTATTGTTCGGTTGTGGTGCAAGACCTGACAGATCAGGTTTCTGCAAGAAGCAGTGTTTCATGTGATAGTGTTGATGTGCACTCTGAAGGTCATTGAAATTTTTGTTGCATGCAGCACACCTAACAACATACATCTCTTCCTTGTGTTTCACTGACAGATGCCTCTTGAGATGACTGTTCAAATCAGCAAAATTCTGTGCAGTTGCAGAACAGAGGCAGCATCGAAACCATAAGTTTCCTTTTTGTAGCATGGCTTTCTGACAATTCACATAATCGTTCCTCCTGTTTATTTTGGAGACATAAGTTGTCCGGCAACCACAGGTTAAACAGTCTCCTTTTTCTACTGGGAGGAAGTCCTCCTCTTTTTTTATTGATACTTCCATCAGCTCAGGCACAAACGCATAGTCCATGCTATGAATCTCCTTATAATGGATTAGAAATTCTTCTTCTGTGTCAAAGAAGAGATTACCACAAAGGCCACAGAAGTATTTAGTCTGTATCTCCTGGTTATGATGCTCTTGGAAGTGTCGCTGTAATGTTCCTAGTTTCCGAAAGTGATTTCTGCATAAGCCACAGCAGTATCTGTGAAATGCATGGCTTTCTAAGGACATGCAGTGTTGTTTAACACTCTCTTCAGACTCAAACATCTCCTCACAAATGCGGCATTGCCATTTTCCCCGAACAGGACTTTTTTCAGGGGACAGTTCCATAGGACTAGGAACGCAGTCTTCCCTCCCATCTGCGGAAATGCATACTGTGTCAGAAGCAGATGGCATAGGTTCATCTTCTACAGCTTCTTGCTCATAATAGTAACTATGTCCACCATGAAATTCAGTCACATGTCCCATAATATCCTCTTCTCTGCGAAGATCTACAGAGCATGCTCTGCACCGGAGAAGAAAATTATTCAAGTGTGCTCCGCCATGGAATCGACTCATATGCAGGCGGATAATGCTTGAATTTTCAGCAAGCTTTCCACACACAGCACACTTGTGACAGATCCTATTTGCTGATAAAATGTGCTTTTCTACTGACTCTTCTGTAAAAAACTTCTGAAGGCATTCACAAAACCAGGCTTTTACTTTGCAAGCACTACCTTGACTTTCATTTGCTACATGATCTTCATTTTTATCTTTTAAATTGCTCTTCCGTTTTGAAGGAGTAGACTCCCTTTCGCTGGTAGACTCATTCGAAGTCAAATGCCTTTTAAGCAGTGGTCTTGACTGATCTGCAATATGGCACAAATGAGACAGATTTTTATTTTTTCCGTTGATATGACAGAACATCAAGATGGACTCTTCCATTGTAGTAAGAACTTTAATGTTATGTTGAGTGGTTTGCTTATGCTGGGTGATCTGATTCTTATCAGCAAACAGTTGATCACAGTTCTCACAGTGACCTTTTGTTTTAAATATCTCTGCAACTTGGGAGATGCTCTTCTTTGACGCTGCCACAGGCCCAGAATTACGACAACGTGTTCTAGAACAGATTAAAAACATAAAGAGGTTACATCACAACCTGAAACATTTTTAAATTTTCAGACATACTTTGAAATATTACCTAGTAGCTACAGCAATTAGTGCGTGGAAGTAGTGTCCTCTGTATACTTTAACTCATCTACTAGCTTGTCAACAAAAACATGCAATGCCTGTCTAGTCCCTGCACTTTAAAGAGAATTAGGTGCTCATTTCCAAAACTAGCACTTAGATTGATGCTTATGTCAGTCCATTCTACAAATAAAATACTGCTAACTTAGAAACAGTGGAACAGAGACCAAGTTTTGTTGTTCAGAAAGTAACAAAAAGGATACAGCCATCGATCAGTGTTCTGCAGTGAATTGCGTGGGGTAAAGTGAGGGAAAAGACATGGAGAGGGGGCAGTTTTTTGATAGTTTACTCAGGAAACCAACATTCAGATGATCCTAGATGCCCCGACATCTACTAGTACCACTAAGAACACATCTGCCTATCTGTTATCGATCTACGGATGGTCACATTCTAGACAGGTGTCTCTCACAAACCTGAAATGAGCTGTTAATTCCATATGTGAACGTAGTATCTGGCAGCAGGATATACACTTCACTTGGAAGGGGACCTCTTTGCACCGAGATATCAGAAGGTTCTTTGCATAGGATGGGAAAGGCAGAGGAAGGCCAGCCTCCATTTCATCTATAATATGGAATGGCAGAAAGTGTAACCACATGTTAAAGAGTTCTTTCATAGTATTTCAGCTCTCAGATGACACACTTACAATTGTACTTGTTTGTCACAGAGTTCAGAAAGCAAGCTACCGTGTGCCAGCTGAGTCACAGTAATAGTGCAATGGAAGCGTTAAGTAAAACTGCATTAATTTTTTAAACTGCTGTAACAACCTCATATCTGTTTGCACCTTGCTTTTTCATACTAAGCGACCAACTCTACTTCCCTTTTCCTCCTTCTACAAGTTCAGGTCAGATATCTCTCTTAGGAAGGTTCTTATGGACCTTCTTCCCCTCCATCTATCACCACCTGTCTACTCTTACTACATTCACTTTTGTTTAAAACCATAGTGTATTTACAGAAGAAAAAAGCATGCAATTAATTTAACAAGTTCCCACATGCTTTGACCATCTCTCTCTTTCCCATCCTCAATGTTAATTCTGTTGAAGTTTTTAGGTGCAGGACTTTCTGTTGTTCCAAGTACATACTCCATTTCTAACTCCAGGTACCAGCAGAATAAAAAATTTTCTATTGAAAAGAGTATGGGAAATGGCTTTTGAACTATATACTGCTGTTAATGTTCTGCATCTTAGGAGGCAAATTATTTTTGAATTTTCTGTTTAGTAAGATGTGATGATCTGTAGGAAGTAATTTGAGGTTATGCCTTTCAGCTAACTTCACTGCCAGATCTTACATGCTGATAATATTAATCATGAAGACCGACCTACCAATGCAAAGGAAAAAATGAAACCCTTCTCTTTTTTGTTCTGAGCTAAGTGCTATCCCCTCTCTAAAGAACAAAACACTATTTTGTGCTTTTAATCTTTTCAAAGCAATAGCTCACCAGTAATCTTTTTTAAAACCTATGGCCTGGTGTTAAAGGTATCTACAGTCAGCACATTCAGAATTAATAACCTATTTGAGAATAAAAGTATATTAGATTTACAACACATAAGAGAACTCAGAACCATGCAGCTGACTGTCACTTCCATGAAGACAGCAGTATTGACTCGACCTGCAAGAAGATTCCTCCAAAGCCTGTCTTTATTGTATTTTTCCTGCAGTCACTCGGGGGGAGGGCAGAAGTAGAAGACATAGTTATGATGAAGAAAAATAACTATACCAATCCTTTTGGCCATGTATGCTTATCCTGAAAGCTAGACTACCTAAAATACGAATAAGAAGTCAATTCCACCTGTACCTCCCTCTGTCTCAGCCACTTACCCAACATTAAAGTAAATGCTTTAACGTCTATTGCTTATTGAAAGCTAAAAAGTCAATACAGCCATGATGGTCACTAACCCTGTTTTCAAGACCCTGATCAGACAGATATCTTCTGTGGAATCTAGTAAGTATGGTTCAGGATGTTACCAGCTCACAACATAACCAGTATTTTAGCCTTCAGTAGCAATGCAGCCAGAGCAAGGCATCAGACCGGCAGCACTGTTCCAGCTAAGTAAGTTAAATTTGCAATTTAACTGAACTGAACTTGGCAAGGGACGTGAAAAA